CTTTCTTATCCTAATTAAAATCAAAGGATTGAGTTTAATTAATAAGATGTGGTATCTACCTCACATGAAATGAGACACGCATATTTAAAGCTAAAACCAAGTACTTGTTTAAACAGGCATAAGGTGCTTACATGCTGAAAAGACCCAACTACGAACAGCTTGATGAATCATAAGAGAGAGATTAGGTTCTCTAAGGATAAGGATGAGGAAAACAGCACACAGTTTAACGGCGAGAAGGGTACGGCTCAAACCTACAATAATAACAATAATAGCCAAGGAACCAAAGTTCACAGTGGTTAATAATGTAGATATTGGATCCTGCTTATGTCTAGTTATATTTCCGTGCGGAATGAAAAAATTCCAAGAATCCACATTGAATTGAAGTAAATATAATGGGTGGCGTTAGAGTGAATGGTAGAGTCATGGAAAAAGATGTATGGATCCACAAATATTATAAAGAATGAATAATGAAATATATATATATATATATATATATGATTATAAGGGAGAATACAAAGGCAACGGTTACAGGAGGAGTGGTGTTCCAAAATATATCTAGAAATTGAAGAATCAGGAGATGGAACTGGAAAGGGGCGGGTATAGTAGCAATTTATAATTAAGGCAGGCTAATATCATAGCAGATAGCAGGTAAAGCAGAGGCACACAATTGGCGCCACCGCTAGCAATGTAATATACATTAATTGTGCGTCTCTTTGTCGGAGACGATGAAAAGGACCCGCATTAATTCGCTGCTTTTGTTTTGTTTATTGTTAAACTCCTTGAACTGTGGAGTGGGAAAAAATATTGATCAGTTTCTGAAAACCAGATTGATTCTCAACCTGATTGATCAGCATCAAGAGATCGACAAATGGATCCAAAGGATATGGCGGCTATGTACGTGTCATGCCCAAATACAATGGCGCAGCCCCACACTTCACCCTCCACACCAAATTAAAAAATCATAATATTAAGTCCCACATGTAATACTCAAATCATATATAGATCTTATGTATATGTTGCCTCCACCCTGTAGGGAATAACCACCATGATCCCATCCTTGTATCATTGCGACTTCTCTCGTATTTTATTCCCCACTTGTATCACAATCAACGAATATTTACTCACGACGACAAAATTTGATCCATCATTTTAAATTACCTCATAAGTGTGCTTCATTTTCAGATGCGACCTGATTCGACATGCTCAGGAAAAGTGACTGAATTATGATACGGGTGACGTCCCTGAAGGCCTCTAACTTTGCTGGGGTACGGTTAAGGGGGGGTTTTCATAATGTTATGGTTAATTACTAGTGCTGCTTTAGGAAGGCTAGCGTATCATAATGATTGTTATTAAGAAACAGAAAAAGAAAAAGACAGCAGAAGAATATATTTGCAAGTGCCACCACTCAAATGTCCACACTCGACAGGGACAGTGCGTCCTGTTTCATTACAGTGGGAAGAATCCACATGAATTGCTCACTGTAACTTTTATTTCCGAAGAATATCATCCTTTTTCCTCCCATCCAAAACCAAAAAAGGTTGTGTGCATTCCTGAGTATTTCCCAAACAAAAAAAAAAAAGTGTTACTATGTTTTTCTGGATTTCTGGAAAGAATTTCTGCCAAGTGCCAAGTCAAATTTTAACGTTTCTTAAAAATATTTTTATATATTTCCTCTCTCTCGAAGGATTTTTCATTTATATTATTTTATAAATTAAACATATCTTCCATATGGAGTTCTAAAGACAATATCTACATGAAAAAATGACAATAAAATCCTTTTAAAATATATATATATATATATATATATGATAATTTAATCATTTAAAATACCATAATTTTTTTAAAGTTTTTTAAAAAATTTCTATCATTAATAAATTTATATAAATTATTAAATTATTCTTACTGAAAATAAATAATTCACAAGTTTTATTTAAATATTCATAATTTTTTTTTTATATTCCCAACAATGTAATAGCAGATTATAACTTCACATGTTAAATTTTTTATTTGTTATTATATTGTTGTGAATATAAAAAAAGTTATAATATTTAAACGAAACTTGTGAATCATTTATTTTCAACAAGGTAATGTGATAATCTATATAAATTTATTAATGACAGAAATTTTTTAAAAATTTCAAAAAAATTATGATATTTTAAAAGATTAAATTATTATTTATATATTTTAGAGAAATTTTATTATTATTTTTTCTATCTACATATCAAGGCGTGCTGCGTTTCCACATCAGAATAATTTTTAAAAAGTTCCTTTTTTCTCGTGAAACGTAATATTTTATTACACAACAGAGAATATATTATAAATCAGCAAAGTCAAATATATAAAATTGATGATACGAGAACAAGGATCATCGAATTCAACTAGGGCCAGACACAATCACAAACCTAACTCCACACCCAACAAAATAAAACCAAGAGATATGAACATAAACAGAACAGAAAATTAGCAGTAGCCAATTTTATCTCTGGTGTTGCAATCAAAAACAAAATTTCCTTTCGTAAGCAACACCAAAAAGAAATTTAATGGTGATAACCAGAGCCCATACGGGGCCATGCTCTTTGAAATCATTAAATATCACTAACAATGTCACATCGTGCCACTGGTGGTCAGCATTATGAGCCCGTAATAGTCCGCACTCCAGTGAAACTACAAAATAGGAGACACTGCCATGTAATGGATTCACTAAAACAACAATTTCCCCGCACACATATTAATATAATGCCAATATTCACCATCCCCCATTAAGATGAAAAGGAGACGGTCACAAAGGGAGGGTTTTTTTTTTTTTTGGGCCCCTTCAAAAATGACGTGAGATAAAGTATGATTAATCAGTGGGATAATCAGATAGTAGTACTATTAATCCAGTATTATAGAAGGATATTGATCTGGTTCAACAACCAATGACCAACTGAATTTCACGGGCGAGTTTAATGCCAGTTAGTAGAAGTCATTCACATCTCTATACGCCTTCAATTGGACTTATCTTTGTAGTAAAAGGGAACCATATTACTCATTCCTCAGGGACCCGTTGAAGTAAGCTGTGAGAGCGAGCACGTATTGAAATGAATTTAATAACTATCGACTGGCTTTCGTTTTCATATCGGAGCATCAAAGATCCATTGACTTCGCACCACCATTGTGGGTGTGAGTCATCCTGCAATACGTGACACTTCAAGTTTCAAGTGGAAGTGGTAAACTGGTTAGCGAATAGAATAGAATTTGAAGGTGTGATTTTGGAGGATATCATGGATGGGATATTATATGGAAGGGATAATTAAAGGGGATTGAAGATGTGAAAGCACAAAGCAAGCAAGAGTGAAAATAACAGCAAATGGAATTATATCGGGATGTGAATTATTAATGAAACGCAAGCCAAGGAAAGTCACTCCATAAGTGATGAGAAAGACAAGGGATTGTAAGGGGGCAGGACCCGCACGTCAAATTGAGTCATTTGCATCTGAAATCAAATCAGGGAAACAGAAGATGATGAAAGAGGATAAAAGCTAGAATAGCTTTGTTTCCACTTTGCCCACACTAGTTATTCTCCCCCCTTGATCTTTGTAGCATGGTTCCTTTCATTGTGCCATCACCAACTCAGTGCGCTTTCACTGTGCTCCTCCCTTCTCCAATGGATAAGTCTCTATCTATTTTCCCAATCATTTCTAATACTATTCATCATCTCCTAAATAATATATAACCATATATTACATCATCCCCCTCAAGTGTCCTTTTCTACACGCATTGTTGGATAGTGTTAGTGGAGTTTTAGAATATTAACCCTGCCTCTTTCTTGCTCGCGTATCCCATAAAGCAGCATTATCATTTTCTGTATCTCCTTATTTTCTTCTTCCTAGCCATAAATAAAAAAATGATTCCAAATGGCGTCACCCTGTCCCCGTCCAACATTAACATCTTCTCTATTACTCTGATCTCCCTGTCTCTCTAGTCACGGCCATTGACGTTACAAACAAAAGTTTAAAGTAGTAAAATAGGATTGATATTGAACATCAGAAATCAATGGTTTAATTGGATTTGAATTGAAAGTTAAATCAAAGTCGATCATAATAAAATAATATAATTTAAATAAAAAGATATTATTTTTTAAAATGTTCTTCATTTATAATAATAATATATAATAATAATATAATATAATTTTTTTTTATTTTAATCAAGCCACAAGGATAAGCAAAAAAGAAGGCACATGATTCAAGTAAACCAGAAGAGGGTAAGGGCAACCACGTTAATTACTATTACACACAACCTAACAACATTTTTTTTTTTTTAAACATTACAGCGACAAGCCAAGGAGTCTGAGAAAAAGAAAATGATAAAATAAAGCTAGAGGGACTACTGGGTACTAAGCCCATCTTCCTGAAACAATTTTCCACATTTAAAAGGGACGCTAGGTGGTAACTTCAAATCCCTTCTTTTACTCGGTAAGTAACCACTCTCTCTCCAGTGTTTTTGACTTCCTCTCTTTACCCAAGAGGTAACTTTGCTCCCTCCCTTTCTTTTTTTCTTTCCTCATCATTTACTCTCCAGTTTTTCATTCTTCTTCGCATCTCATTCTCTCTTCTTTCTTCAGACGCCATTTCCCCTTTTCCCTCCTCCATCTTCACACTGATCATGAAGAACGTCGACAACAGACGAGAACACTGAGAAGTGAGAATCCAGTGATTAAGGATGATGATAAGAGAAGAGTATATCGAGACTCGAGAGCTCTGAAACAGTGATGAATGAAAATAATGAAGTGAGTCGCAGGGGAAAAGAAGCTATTTAGGCGCAGAGGAAAAGAAGCTATTTAGGACATCCATCTTTTAAGAAAAGCCAATTACTCAACAAATTACACGACTCTATTCTCAAGTCCCTATTTACAATGCCACACAACCCCTTTTGCGTGTTTAATCGGCCTTCGTTCTGCAGCAGCAGAAGAATTACTTTTATTATTTATAAATATTATATGATGTGAAAGAAGTAACTGAAATCATCAGGGGAAGAAAGAATAAATCCCGAAAAGGGGACCCACGCCACGCTTTAAGTCCAATCAGAAACACAAGATTAACACGACCTAACCCACGATCAAACGCAAGGGTTGGTTCCTGTTACTACTGCGAATTCGAGTAACCCTGCCCTGCCTTTTTTCCTTCTTTTCTTCTTTTTCTTCTTTTTTTGCCCAACCCCCTCCCTCCTCTCTTTGAATCAACAATTCCAACAATCGAACGAAGCCGAGTCCCGTGGAAAAAAGCCAAGCACAGGTGCCCCGTGCACCGCACGGGTATCTAATCATCTTCTTCCAAACTTGTTTCTTTCTCGCTCCTTATAAATACCCTGCCCCGCCCCTTCGTTCTTCAACCTCACATTCCCATTTGTCTCCTCTATCTAATCATCTTCCACTTTCTCCTCCCACCTGCACCCATAATTTCCACAGTAAAGGCTACGTACCCAGAAGCTAAAATGAGAACTATTCCCAAATCTTTCAGTCCCTCCAGTAGTTCCCTGGCCCCTGTCGCTTTTTCATTGGGCTCTGCTCAGCGCTCTCCATGGCACTCTCCGGTTCCTTACCTCTTCGGAGGGCTTGCTGCCATGCTGGGTCTCATAGCCTTTGCGCTTTTGATCTTAGCCTGCTCTTACTGGAAACTTTCTAGCTTCTTGCAAAGCGAAGACGGAGACTTGGAGAGCGGCGAAGCCCAGAAACAGAGCGACTCTGCCAACAAGGAAGCCGTCAAGGTTTTTGAGGAGAAGATTCTGGTCATTATGGCCGGAGACGAGAATCCCACATTCTTGGCCACCCCGGTGTGCTCCAAGTCGTCATCTCTCGGAGACCGAATAGGCAAGATTGGGGTCCACGATCACGACAACTCAGAGAAGCTTGGGAAGGAGCCAGAGTGCGACAACCACCAAGGTCACCAAGACGAGCAGCGACAACAAAACCAGCAGTGAAGATGGTCGTGTTTTAGGTAATAGATTTGAGCGCGAGGGAGTCTGAGAAATTGAGAATCACATTTGTCTCTAATTTTTGTGAACATTTTTACTTTCTTCTTCTCTTCGTATCTTGCCCGTATTTTGGATTTTGGGCCATCGACCTTGCTGGTCTTCCACGATTCGGGAAGTGTAAATTTTAGTTGAGAAGAATTAGAAATGAGAACTCACGTTTCATTCAAAGAACGGGCAGATTCCTGTGCGTACTGGAAAATAAATAAGCCGTCACTTATCTTGACATTTTTCCGACGGAGAGACAAAGCCGAGACCTGAAGGGAGGGGAGAGAGAAAGAGAGAAATGTGGATCCACGGGCGCAGGGCGACACGTGAGAGTTATAAACAGGGTAGAAACGGAGCGTGGCAGAGCATAGCTTAGGCGGCTGCGGGAGGCCGCGTCGCTTTTACTGTTGTGTTTGACTGCACTGTCAATTAATGTAGCCAGTAATGTGGATCTGTTAAAGTTCGAGTTCGCTTCTTCTTTTGGAAAATAAAGCCAGGGTTTTGACGTTTATCCTGAAGAGCGAACGAAATAGTGAACACTCTGGATTCTGAATTTCGGAGAGAGCAAAGTCGCTTTGCATAGCATTGCAATCAGCCGTCGTAGAGGATGATCTCTCCCTCAATTTGGACTTGGTGGCTCTATTTAGTATAGATACTAAATACTTATATCATTGAAGTTATTAAAATTTAAATTAATAGTTTAAATAAAATTATTTATTTATTAATTTAAGTTAAATATAAATTTAAAATTATCAATATAAATTTTAATAATTTAAATAATATAAGTATTCAATACTTGTAAAATTTACCTCCTCCTCTGGCACGGGACGGTTTTCCCTATTTACACAAATAAATAAATTAGGCGGCTTTATATCTCGGAACGCTCTCGGGAGGCATTAATAATAAAAAGGAGAAGAAAAACCGCACCAACGATGGTTCCTACAATTCACAATGCGAAAGTACTATATATAGGAGCCTAGCAAAGGCCGAAATTGGAGTGACATTAATGGTAATAAATCCGAAACTACCAGTGTCCAGAGTGGCAGGGCGATGCGATGCGATATAAATAAATAATGCAGGTCGGAGACCGTGAAGAGAAAGTGAGCACATCGCGCTTGCTTCTCTGAAACTCACCCGACCTCAAACCAAGTCAAGTGAACTGCCTTCACCCCATTTTTGGTTGAAAAGCCGCTGCACAAGTTCCAACACATGTCCCCGCAGCCCTATTTAAAAATATTATGGAAATAGACCGAAAGCATGAATCATGACATGTCAGACAACTGAGAGAGAGAGAGAGAGAGGGGGGGGGGGGCTCAACAGTTCAGGCACAACCTCCGGGATATGCTTCCCTCCTGTTGCAGAATTTCCCTCGTTTTACTTTTTGGAATTTACCGCTATTTATCATTTACATAACAAATTTACGAGTAAGCCTGCAAGCATTCCCTCCCCTTGCCTTTTCTTGCCCTCATCCACAGCGTTTCCATCACCCAACTCACGACCACCCTGGAGTTTAACATACATGAATAAGTAATATCCATATATAAATATCTAATCAATATACGTTTGTAATGTCACCCTTCCCTTTTTTGAATTTGGTGTAGTGAAATGGACTAATCCTTCACAGTATAAGGAACCTTTGATTTGAATTCCTTCCAAAAAAAATACATATATTTAATACTTAATCATATCTCAAATATAATTATTATCAATAAAAAATACATGTGTGCAATTAAAAAAAATAATATAATGATTAAAAAAAAAAAGTGTCCAGGGCTCCAAGTAAAGGGAGCCCAATGTCTAAGCTCAATTCGAAGTCCAGCTCCCCCGTAGTCGCCTCGCCGTGACAACACGCTATTTCTGCTCCCTCCCTGGACTGCGTATATTTGGACTTTGGGTGGAGGCCCGACTCTTTAGTCCAAATTCTACAATGGGCCTCTCAGCAGATCCGTGTAGAAAGAAACAATCAATTCCTTTAAAAAAACAAAAGAAAAGAAAAGAAATAATGATTCACTTCTCATGTAGATGCCTTGCTCTCCAAACCAAGGCTTGCAAGGAAGATGGGGGGGGGGTTAGTTGGGGCGAGGGGACCAATGTGAAAAACCTGACCAAGTTGTTGTTTTTTAATAATATAATGTATGGTTCAATTTCGTGCTGGAGACGCATGACTTGGAGAGCAATGCATGTTAATTAAAAAAAAAAAAAAAGGAATGAGTTGTGGTCTATATAAAGCTCTGGGTTTCATTGCCATGCCCCTCGAAGAAGGCCCACTCAAACAACTACCTGATTGTTCTCTCTTGCTCTTTGTATCTTTTTTCTTCGTTTATTAATTATTGACGAAGGGGTGATGGAGGACGATGAAGATATTGGTTGGTTCGCTCGTCGTGCGTAAGAGCAATGCACCATCCACTGCCTTGCCGACATCCCCACTATTTCCGAGTCCTCCTCCTCCATCCCTACCTGGCTTTCCCCTTTTTTTGTGTGGTTATTTTCCTCTCTTTGTTTTTTATCCATTCAAGTTTAGCTTAACTGAGTAGAGGGCAAAAACCAAGATTTGAACACACATCCTTGCAAATTCTGTGTCGCCTTCTTACTGTTTACTCTTTCTTTTATTTCAATGGTTGAGTTATTACATGACAATTATTATTTCAAAATGAAAAATTTTAATAGGTCTGTTGTTATTATTTTGTAATTTAGTCCTCGGTAAATGGAATATTCTTCCATGTAGCTCCGCGCCTTCCTGTTTGATTTGCTGATTCACCCTTTCCCCGTACATAATTGTACTTGAATTGTCCGTTCCCTCGGCGTCATCTTCACTACTTGGGAAGACAGTGACGCTGTTTGAAACTTGAGATGCGCTGGGATCTGGTTGTCATATAGGAGTATTCGACAATCATTGGTGACATGGAATTAATTTTGTCCTTAATTATTAATATGCAGAACTTTTTTTTCTCTTTGCCTTTTTTATTTTACATGGATACCTGCATGTAAATACTTTTATTTTATAAAAAGGTCTTTAAATTATTGTCATTTTAAATAAAAAAAGCAGTAGATCCACAATAAAACTTGACCATACATCTGTGGTCCTCCATCAATTCCTATATATAAAAAGTTTTTCATAATCTTTTTTTATTCTTAAATATAAAAAGATTGTTAGTATATTTTTTAATTAATAGACCATTATACTCTTATTAAATTAGAAAGAAAAAAGATAAGTACTCTCATTAATTTATTTAAAAAATTTTATTTTTTATTTACAATAATTGAAGGAAAAATTAAAATATTATTGTGCTTATAATTAGATATATTAATTTGAGTGATTTAATTAAAAATATTTTATATATAAGGATGGTAAGGATGGAGGAAGTATCTGTGAAAGAATTTGTGATCCAAACGTAAATGAAGTGACCTTTGTTACTCAGAGTCGTGACCATGGTCTGTCGACGCATTCACGGTACATTAATTAGTGGTCCTTCTTCAAACAGTTCGTGTCTTTGTGTTCATAAACCCTTCCGTTTTCTTCGATCCCTAGTCCTCTTCATCATGCATAGCTTCAATTTTCACTTTTGATTGCAGGTATATATATATATATATATATATATGTTCGCCATATAAATCAGCGACAGTGAAACAACCCAACGTAAAAAAGATTCAAAATGGCAAACAGATTGATTTATTGAACATCGAGTATGGTGAGCCTTGTACGAAATGTTCACTGTTGGGGGGATCGTTTCCATAGTCTGCAGGAAATTCTCGTCTGGTAATTGGTCATTCATTCGAGAGCATCATCTACAGCTTGTGATTTTAATTATTATAGCAATTAACGGCATCGCCCACCATTTCATAGCAAAGTTTATGTTGACATTGATCAATTTGTGACTCGATCTGATCATCATATTCTCCAAATCTGTTGTACTACTGTTGATTGCTGATTGAGATAATTATGTTGCTGTTGTCCACTATTATGTTGAATCCCATGAATCTCGTGGTTGGTGAAGGTAATGGAGGATTTTTTAAAATACTCCCTCCCTCTCCCTCCCTCCCTCCCTCCCTCCCTCCCTTAAATTTACTTTCGCTTGTTCCTTTTGAGGCGTGCTTTGGGGATGTAAGCGTGACGTGAGGAGCTTAATTTCAAAATCACGAATACTCCTGTCCGACTTTAATAAATTCATTAATTTTTTATGTCGACAAATATTAATTAATTCAATCCAAAAAGTGGCCAGAAAAGAACATGAATCGAGCACACTTTAGCAGTAAGTTACAATTTTAGCTCATTTCTAGATTTAAAACTATGGTTTTGAATTCAGGCAAAAAAAAAAAAATACAGTTTTGAAAACATTTTATCCCTAATTTTTCCAAACTGCGAATTTAGTTTCTAAAATTTCATTTGGGATAAACTTATTTTTTTTTCATTTTGAAAAATTAATTCTGACTGTTATTGACTTGCCACTTTAAATGGTAAAATTACCCATTTAATATTGATTCTGAAAAAATTATTTAAACATCCTCAGTTTTATCAAGATTAATTTTAAAAAATTATTCAAACATCACATGTTCTAATAATTAATTTTTTTTTTCAATTGAAATTCAAACACACCTATGAGATTGAAGCAGTGTCATGCCAGCTTTCAGAAAACAAGACGAACGTGTTCACGTGAAACTGGCGACAAGCATGTATAAGGTGGACTTTGCAATACAAATATGATAGATCAGTGCTTCTGTCACTGAAGAAAGATAGATGACATGTATCAAACTAAATAAGAGTATAATCTAGAGAGCCATCTATCCCCTGCATTTGGCGTCAATATCCACGTAGATTCAAAGATACCACTGCAACAGTCATTTCGAAGAAGGAATAAAGAAAATAGGGGATATGCTAATTAAATCGAAAACACAGGCAAATTCTTCATTTCCAGGGAGCTGCGAGGATTCGTTCCTAAGAAACATATAAGGCAAGGTGGGGACTAAATATCTGGGAATATGGCTCAGTCATCCTCCAGCTCCACAGTGTCCCACGCCAATACAGGTTGCTTTTTCCGTTGCTCCTCACTAAATTTGTTCTACAAAAATTCCCATTTTATTTATAATTACATATTTTTAAAGTATTTTTTTCCTGTATTTTTAGTTTTTATGTCGATAATAATATAAGTATTTATTTTAACAACTTTACAGGGATTGGTTAAATTTTTGAAAAATTATATATTAAAAAAGTAATAATGAAAATATAAAGGAAATTAAACTCTGATGAAGTTTGACGAACAGCTGACGCTGGTTCGTTAACGCCTCCAAGAATACTTGGACTTTGGCTTTGGAGGCCCAGCTCCTTGGTCCATATTCGACACAGGGCCTCTCGACCAATCTGTGAATAAACAAACACCATAATTCCTTGGGGAAAGAAAGAGAGACAAGACCGCAATTCTTTATTTTAATAGTAAAACATGACTGCAGATCTCTACTTCTGCTGTTTCCGATGACGCACCCTTTTTTTTAGGGACGTTGTGCAGAGAGAACAGCTGGGATTACAATCCCCTGTTTCCTTTTTAAGTTTTTAATGTAATTTGGGCTTGGCCCTCTGTCGTTCCAAAAGAAAAAAAATATGTGTGTGTGTGTGTGTGTGTGTGTGGCTTGCTCTCCAAAGAAAAAATTTATCCGTTGTTGATGGTGTAGTTGCAGCAGGTGGTATGAAAGCAGGATTTGGAGGAGTTCTGAAAGACCATACTGGGCATTGGATAGTTGGTTTCTCTCACAATTTGAGCATTTGTAACGCCTCATGAAGTGGATGAGTGGGTTGTTTTGAAAGGTCTCTGATTTGCCTAGGACTTTGGATTTAAACAAATACTTGTGGAATCCGATTGCAAGAATCTAGTGGACCAATTGACTAGAGACAACAACAATGACACGAGTAGCTTGGTATTCGTTGACCTACTGAATATGCTCATATGGAAATGGAAGATTTGAGTTCGGTATGCTCCAAGAGAATGAAATCAAGTAGCTAATAGATTAGCTAAAGAGGTATCAACTATTCCTCTTTGTTTGAGGTTCCCCCGGTGTTTATAAGGGACCTTATTTCTTTTGGTTGTATGTAATCTCAAACCCCTTTTTCGTAATATAATTTCTACCTAGGCTTAGCCCATCTCTTGTATGAGTTTTTTTCATTTTTTTTCAGGGCCAAATGTGAAAAACATGACCAACTTGTTCATTTTATAATGTATGTTAGTCGCGATGCATGTAGCGAACATATATAGGGCAACGCCTTTTTTCTTGTTAAAATTACGGTAGTAAAAAAAGAACGGAGTTACATGATCTATTCTTCATACATTAAATCTCATTAATTCAGCCTTTAAATTTAGTAAGTTTTTACTTTTGCATTTAATAAAGACAAAAAAAAAGTATTTTTAATAATTTTTAACATTAAATAAAGATAAAAAGGTAAAAATGAGTATTTAAAATAGTGAAATGTTCAATAAATAAAATTAAAATTAATTTCTCCTTTTCTTATAAATAAGATCAAAATTAACTAAAGGAATATCATTGCTAAGGCCATAGAGGACAATGAAGGTATTGGACTTGGCTTTGCTTTCCCACAAAGCCGCTTCTCCACAGCTCCACTGTACCTTGGGGGAGATTTGGATTGGCAATTGAATGTTTTAATTTTTATTTTAAATTTATTAAAAAATAAATTTTCTAAAATTTTTTACCAAATTTTTGAATAGTAATTTGGATAGTAAATTTTTTTATAAATTTTATAAATTGATTATTCAGATATATTTTGAATAATGCATATTTAATATTATTTTTTTATAAATTTTAATTTTGAAAATACAGATTTAGGCTATTCAAATTATTAATAAGATTTATTAAATTTTTTAATAATTTATATAAATATTTTATTTTAATAAATATAACATAAAATTAAAAATTAAATTTTTAAATTTAAATGGTCTGAATTTCACAGTAGGGGAGCCGCGGCCCCAACTGCCTTTGCCAACTTTTCACAGTTTTTGAGTCCTCTTTCTCATCTGCCATTCTTTTCTAATGTTACAGGCCTCGTTTTTGTCTTTTTATTCCCCCTTCTCCCTCTCTTTTCCTTGTATTTGTGTACACAATTCTTGTTTAAGTGAATTAAATCACAAAAATCTGCCAGGGTCATACCAGCTTTATTGCTAAACACCCAATTATTTACTGATATTAGAAGCAAGATTATGAGTCACTTTCTTATTAAGTGAACTAATTCTTGTCAGTTTTGTTTTTTTCTTTCTCTTGGTTGAGTTATTATTAGTTGATAATTTTGATTGAGAATTTGTTTCATTGTTCCAAGGGAAGATTTAAATGAATTTTTTGATAGGATTGTTGTTACTGGCTTTTTTGATGTAGTGCTTGACAAGTGGAACATTCTTCCTTTTAGCTCAACAAAAAATTATCAAGACCTTCTTATTTTGCTCCATTCTCAGGATGTCAACTTCACCAACTTCCGGCAATGGAATTAATTTTGTTCTAACACATTGAATTCATTTTTTGAAAAAAAAAAAAATTCTCCTCCACCTCCTCCTCTTCTCATAGATGAATTCATTTTTTCCATGAAGTGATCATATTTTCAATTTTATAAAATTCGAATGGACACATAACATGAGTCGTATGCCAATAACATAATCAAACGCTCCTGTTTACAAAAAACAAAAATGTTTTGATATTCTCCAGGGCTATTTTTTTGGGAGAAAAAAAGGTCGTGGAATTTATTTTAGAAAAAGGAGTTTAAATTTTTTTTAAAGATATATATATATATATATATATATTTAAAAGCAGTTGATCTGGGGGAAAAAAAAACTTAACCAAGCATTTTCTGGGTCTCTGGTATTAACGAATTTCTGAGCAGAATGGCGAGCGAGCATTACTCATCGTCGCGACCATGGTTCGTCGACGCGGTTACCTTCACACTGCTTCTTCTAATAGCACTTCATGTCTTTGCATTGGTACCCCTCAGTTTTCTTCCATCCCTAACCCTCCCCTACCTTATTTCATTCATCATGTGTATAGTTGCATGGCTATAATTTTCCTCCCTCATTTTGATTGCAGGTGTATTCGCTTTATAAATTAGCGAGCGTGAAGCAACCCCAAAGAAAAAAGATTCAATGATCCACAGATTGATTCATTGGTCGTCAAGTTTGGCGAACCTTGCAAATTGCTCTTGCAGGAAATTTTTACTCGGAATGGTTCATTGGAGAGGATCGTTTCCATTGTCTGCAGGAAATTTTTATTCGGTCATTCATGTGAGAGGATCGCTTCGTAAGTCCTCGGAACACCCTGTAATAAACTCGTGGTTTTGTTGTGCATCACTTATCATTTCAAGCAATGTTGTATCAACATTGATCAGTTTGTGACTCTGATGATCATATGAAGGGAAGGTTGTCAATTCTCCGAATCTGTTGATAACTAATTGAATTTTCTGTAGCTGTTCTCTTTTGTGATAAATTCCACGAATCTCCTGTGTGGTTGGTAGATGTAATGATTGAGAGGAATTCTCTCTCTCTCTCAGGAGTGCTTGGGGCATGCAAGCGCACCATGAGGTGCTTTAGAATATATGGAACTGGAATTCGAATCGCCAATTTTTTACTTTGATATATTAATACATTCGACTCGAAAGTGACCGGAAAGATATGAATTGATTGCACTTTATCAGTCAGGTTGTTATGATTTTAGCTCTTCGAGATGGAACCAGTGTCCAGCTTTATGTCAGCTTTCAAAAAAGAAAGACGAATGTGTCCTTGCAAAACTGACGACAAACGTGTGTTAGGTGGATTGTGAGAATACCAGCATGATTACTGTGTCGGGTATACAGATCAGTGCTTTCTTATATATATGGAAAGAAGAAAACTGTCACCGAAGAAAGAGAGATCAAATGAGTATTTTTTTGGATAGCCATCCCCTGCTTTTGGCGCACAATGGTGACATAATTGTCTTGTTCCTCAACAAAATGTTCACTAAGACGTCCATGTAAGTTCAAAAAATATTCCAGTGACAATCATGTCAAATTCCACAGGCCTTCAGCCTCACTCGGTCCCTCTTATTTTTCTTTCAAAAGACAAAAAAAATGTAAGGATTGTTTTAGAGCTGACGAGCGTTATTCTAGTTCCCGTTATTTCATAAACTGTGAGTGTCTAACATGCCAGACAAACTGCAATGAAAAACATCCCACACTAACTAACAAAGAATGCACAAAACAATTCATCAACTTATGCATTAGTTGCTCCACAAGAACGTCGAATCTCACCCTCTTCATCTGTCTTCACTCCAACAGTGGTCAGCTTCAGGTATGATTGGCTCCATTTCTCAAAGAAAAGATCCTGGTCATTTGCCAAATCTTCTACTAATTTTCTTGTTTGATTATCCCTCAGCAGAACAGAATCCGACTGGAACAGACCCTTGCGAGCCAGTAGATTCCGGTAATACTGGTTGTCAAACACCATAGATGTTTCAGGATCATTGTTAACTGTTACAGATGGGTTTGCATTTGCTCCACACTCTTTCATCAGTTCATTTGCATAACTACTGTCCAGGTCATTGTCAACGAGCCTAAGCCTCCCCTTCGAGTCTTCTTGGAACCTCCCCCTAAATGAGCTGCAATGAGCTGATCCTATGGTATGAGCCCCTGCAAAACTCACCGTTAATGAACTTTCCATTAATCGCAGCTAAATTTAACAATATTTACATGCACACACACATATATAAACCAATGCAATGTCAATAATCAGAGGAAGGGGAAGAGATTAATAGTGATAACCTGAAAGGATGACAAGGTCATCGAGGGACAATCCTTTGGAGGAGAAGAGGCTAATCATCTCATCTATTGTAAAACTGGTGTCAACAATGTTGGGTCTGACATTGGAAACTAATGAAACCATCCCATCTCTCCTGCCTGTAGGAATCTGAACTACGGGTCCACCAGCCTGTTCTCGAGTTCCATACGAGGAATCACTTGTACCAGAACTGTACTTACTGAATATTAACATTTAACAGCATTGCAGTGAGGGAAAAAGAGAACTTACAGCTTCAACAGCATCCCTAGCTGCCAGAGCAATTATGTCAGCACAAGAAACGGTTGCTGGACAAAAAATCTCAAGCACTCTTTTAGCTGAATCTATCACTGAAAAACCTCCCACTGACCTGTTCGCTGGATCACTCTGCTCGGTATTGTTCCCTTGTAGCATCAAAGATGCATCACATCCCTGCATATCATGAACCAATGATTTACACTGAGGAAGGGTTGGTCGCTACTACAAGGCATGATTGAGTTGAGAAACCAACCCATAGTGCACAATCTTGAATCCCTCACTATTGCATGTAACCCTGAGGTTATCTCAGCTTCAAATCCATTTGAGTATTACTAATATTTTCATTTTTTTTTTCTTTTGTAATTAAATCGAAACAAACGGGGGCAATTTCTTTATTTCAAAATAGCTGCGAGGAATCATCGTTAACAAACTTAACACATGCGGTTTTAAGAGAATGGAGTAGAAGCACTAACCTCCACGAAGCAATCATGGAAAACCAAGCGAAGGAGTTTCCCCGGAATGGAAGGATCGTCGGAGGAGAAAGAACGGACAGTGTTTCTTACAATGAACTCTGCAGAAGGGCATGAAGCTGCATAGAAGTTGAAAGAGAGGTTGCCTGAAACGGATGCTGCAACGGACAAGCTAAAAAGAATGAAAACTGCCGTGGGAAAAACTATTGCCCTCGTCTCCATTAAGTTTTGTCGTTCTTAGATTTGAGGCACTGCATTTGCATAGAGCATAGAGTCTCTTGTTATTTGATTATAAGGAGAAAGATAAAACAAAAGAGAAGGTGGCCATGAAACCGTGTGTATTAAAAGCTACATTTATGTGGTTCGGTGATGTCAGGAGGTAGATGCAATTTCCCTCTAGCCTGTCAGTGTTTAACTCTTTTAACAAGCATTTAAGTTCCTTGTTCCCAACTCTATCAGTACTACTACTATTTTCGTTCATTTGCTTGGTTTTAATATTTGGCGTGTTGTTAAAATGCGTTTTCGGGACCCACTCTAAACCATAGAAGCCTCCCCCATTTATATTCCATAATCACCGAGAAAGATAAATATTGAAATGCAGTAAAAAGTAGTTAGGCAAAAAGAGAAGCACCTGATCTGTCATAAGATTATATATGCAGTAGAGCCATGTGATAACTATGACTAGATAATATTGGTGTTCTTAGTTAGTCCAGAAAAATGGGGCAAGTGGAATGTATGTTAGGTGTGGGAGCAAAAATCTGCGAGCCAACTGAAATGAAACGCAAAGAAAATAAGGAAAACCCGTCCAGTACAGAATAAGTGAAGCGAAGAGCAGTAAATTTCATACACAGAACAAGGTCGCTGAGTCTGACGGCAGAGCTGTAGAAAATGATGGCAGTCGCCACACTTTAGAGTTCCCCTGTATTCAGCTGGTGATAATACAACTTGCAAGTAAGGGTGGGGTGGGTTCTGAAAAATCATTACCAAAAAAACTTAAGGAGGAAATAGATTCTCTCAGTTCATTTATGAAAATTGAATGGGTGACTCTGATAGAAGAAGAGAAGAGACAGATTAAAACTATAAATAGTAAAAAGAAGTGCATGCACTTGGTCAAGCGGTCAACCCCATCGACATGTTACGCATTGCGGCATTTTAATTTGACATTTAAAGTAAATTTTGATGGTCGACTCTAGGATATTATTCAGCATATTTTTACTCTCTTCCGGTTTTATTTTTTCGACGAATTTTTTAGGCGAGTTCAATTTAATTCTTAAATTGAACTAATCATCTATTGAAATTCATCGTCAATTTTAAAACGCGACATCCTCAATGTCGCTTTCATTTTCTTATCGACCAAATTCGTATACTCTGATTGCTGGCAGTAAAATTGTATAATCCAGCCACGGTGGCTTTCACCAAGATCTCGAAACAGGATCAATAATGCTTGGAGAAATTGTGCAGTGCACGCCAATCAACTCTAAAATCGAAGTATTTGGGAGGGGGGAAAAAAAGACTCTGAAATCAAAGTATTCATATTAGGGGGAGTGATCGTTGCAGGTCTCGGATTGTGTGGTCAGGAATTGCACAAGTTTCCGCCGAATAGCAACCACCTCTTGATGTCAAAATCACGCTCTTCCGCTCTTCCTCTTCCGTTCAGTCACGACACCTAACCAATTTCTTTACTCTTACTAGCACCCAGCAATTTATCTCCTTCATCTTTCTTCTTCAGCTTCCGAACCTAGTTAATCATGGCTCTGGTGAATCCGTTTCAAACTTCTCTGGTTTTTCGTCTTTCCTATCCGCCATCCAAGCAAAATTCACCACCGGTACTTCTTTGCTCTCTCTCGTCACAACCCTTCAAACCATTATCAGCGAGAGGGAAGCATGCAAGGTGTGGCGCCATCGCGGATGTTAAAGCTGTTCCTTCGCTTGGTCACAACGATGAGGAAGATCACAAGGTTCTTGTGGGACCTTCCGGTGACGAAGAGCTCAGAGGTGATCGGGCCGTTGCGGATTACGACTGGACAGAAGAATGGTACCCCCTGTACCTTACTCAGAATGTGCCCGACGATGCGCCCCTGGGTCTCAAAGTGTTTGATAAGCAGCTTGTGTTGTTCAAGGACGGGAATGGCGAGCTTCACTGTTACGAAGATCGCTGCCCTCACAGGTCACTGCGTAATCAAAATAATAAAACTGAAAGATTCATGCATCAACTATCTAGCCATTGAAGCTTCCCAATTTTGTTAATTCCCTATATTGATTCAAGAATTTTTAGAGACTAAATTAGGTTGATTACTTAGCAATTGAAATTAGATGGAATTCCAGGGTTACTGACCTGAGGACCTTACTTGTTGTTCTAATTCAGGTTAGCGAAGCTATCTGAGGGCCAATTGGTTGATGGAAGGCTTGAATGCCTATACCATGGTTGGCAATTCGAAGGCGAAGGGAAATGTGTGAAGATACCTCAGGTCTGTTTCACTCATCTTCAATGCTCATATTTTTTTTTTGTCGTTGCTTCTGAGATTGATGGGATAAAGTTTTACTAACTAACATGGTTTTACAGCTTCCAGCTGATGCCAAGATCCCTCGTTCAGCTTGTGTTAAAAAATACGAGGTGAGGGACTCTCAAGGAGTCGCCTGGGTGTGGATGTCTCGAAAGACTTCTCCAAATGTTGATAAACTACCATGGTTTGAGAACTTTGCTAGGCCAGGGTTTCAAGATGTGTCAACAACTCACGAACTCCCTTATGATCACTCCATACTTCTTGAAAACCTGATGGATCCTGCTCATATCCCTATCTCACATGATAGAACAGACTGGACTGCCAAAAGAGAGGATGCGCAGCCGCTGCGTTTTGAGGTAACTGAACGGACTGAAAGAGGATTTGCAGGTTGGTGGGGCAGAGAGAAAGATGGGTCTATGCCTAACTTTTTACGGTTTGAAGCTCCGTGTGTTCTCCAAAATAACCGGGAAATTGTCGGCAAAAATGGTGAAAAGCACTACTTCACAGGTCTCTTCCTCTGTACGCCAACAGGGCAAGGTAAATCCTTGCTCACAGTAAGGTTTGGAGGAACTAAAAGATCCCCACTAATAAAACTGTTCCCCAAATGGTACTTCCATCAGAATGCAAGCAAGGTGTTTGAGCAAGACATGGGATTCTTATCATCTCAAAATGAAATTCTATTGAAAGAAAAAGTTCCAACAAAGGAACTATACCTTAATCTGAAATCTTCAGACACATGGGTTGCCGAATACAGGAAGTGGATGGACAGGGCAGGACATGGGATGCCATATCATTTTGGCTACAGCACCATTTCATTGCCAAAGGAGCCCGCCGTGGTTGAACACGCCCCTGCCGGACTTGTTGCCGGGCTCTCAGCTTCTTCCCCTGCTAAGGGAGGCAATGGAAGCATGCATGCTCCAAACTTGGCTAATAGATATTTCAGGCATGTAATACATTGCAAAGGGTGCAGAAGTGTTGTGAAAGCTTTCCAGACTTGGAAAAGTGGACTTTCGGCTGTGGCTATTGCCTTGGTTGCGTTTGCAATCCTGGCAACTGGGAGACAGTGGAAGGCCCTTCTGTTGGTATTGGCATCCATATGCTCAGTAGGAGTCTACGCATGTTCAACCGCCATAGCAATGAATACTACGAATTTCATCAGGACACACAGGAGACTCTGATAGATTAAATGTTACAAATTCTCTTATTGCACTTCTATACATCTCACATTTAGCAGTTTGTTGAAATATATTGTTGCTTGCCACCCTATCTTTAACTAGTGTATTTACACCTAACTAAAAGAAAGGATGACAAGTAATTCCTTCCTAAAAGAAGATTCAAACGCCGGAAGGATTATTCAGAAAAAAGTTATGAATTTGCAAATGTTTATTCAAGTTCCCTTGAGCATTTACATACTGAAAGAAAATCTCTCGTACAACTGGCTCCAACAACGCTCTTTCATGTTGAATTTTGCCAACCAATGCAATTCCGGACGTTAACAAAATGAACTAGAAGTAGACTAATTGACTGCTTCAAGAAGCATGACAGCCTTACATAAGCTGAACAAAGTTCGCTTACTAAGTAGTACACCGTTAAAGCCGCAGCGTTGTCGTCAGTAGGCCATAAAATCCAGAAGAAAAAGTTTAGCACGTGTATGAGGCATTAACTTTTCAACTTCACAGCCGTATTCCATTATTTCTGAGTATTATTAGTTCTGCTCTTTGGGAGCAGGAGGTTCTTCCAACCATCTTGCACGAAAGCCTGTGCCTTGACAATCAGAGCAGCACGTTGATCCCTGAACGACAGACAGTATACATGACAAATCATTCCAAAATGGGTATGTAAAGCATGTAAAAAGTGAAAACAATATTAAGCAGGGCAGTTGTGTTGGGTAATTGGCATCAATCCTTCATCACAGAGGTACCTTTCCAGAGCAAATAATACAGCTTGTGTTTTTGGATGGAACTTCACAAAGCATGTTATCACCAAGAATAAAAAACCCAGTACCACCACACCATTTGCATTCAATGTGTCCTTTTGAGTCGCAAGATGAACACTCAATTGGCCTTGGTTGCTGCATGCAAAATAAATATTGTAAAAATCAAGGACCACCATAGAGATAAGAAAGTGTTCAGACTGCTCCGGACGGTAGATCTCCACAGAGCAACAAAAGCAATCAGTCAGACATCAAGTACAATCAAGATTTGATTCGATTTATTTGTTCTCAGCGCAGCTTTTAAAGTCGGCTTCTAATTAAGTTGGACGATGAAAAACCATCTTATCGTTAAAATATATATATATATATATACATATATATTTCCCTTTGTACCGCAGTGACTATGTGAGGCTTAAATTTGCAATTGCATTGACTGAAGCCACCATAAGGCTCAAAAATACATGAGTAAAAGATGTTGTCATTTTATGCTAATTTCTTTCAGTGGGTTTTCATTTCTAGTAGAACCTTCATTTTTCAAATAAAAATTACAGGTGATTTTAGATCCGATTCATAGTCCTACTTAATGAAACCTGTAAAGTATGCCCTCTGTTTCAATACCATCGTTGTTACAGGGTTTTCATCTTGTTTCAAAACTAATGTCATTTTAAAATTCCAGTGCTCGGTTTGTTGTTTTTATCCAACTATGCTCTCATTCAACTGCCTATAATTATGTCTCATTCTATCTCTAAACTATCACATAAAATAAGGGTATTTTAATCCGCGTGGCGTAATATCTTACATTAATAAATAATTTTTAATATACGTGCAAGCCGAAGGGAGTAAAACTTGTACAACATAGTCCAGGGTAGAAAATAAAACAAGCAGAGAAAGCTATGATCATGATCACCCAAAAGTCCAAAACCACGCATTCAACATCCCCCCCTCCCTCCCCCCGATTTTGACTGTCCAGGCAAATCCAGCACATTAAACAATCAAACTTGCAGATTATCTTTAGATAACGTCAAACTCCAATTCCCAAAGAGGGTGCATATTACCATGTGCACATGATAGACACGGACAAACTTTCTTAATGCTTTTAGGTTACAATTTTAGATAAAATAAAGTCATCATCCAGAAGACATGAAATCTACTAGAGAAGTAAAGAACGGAAATAATGCAAGTGGGTTTTGCAAAGTCCAGTTTCAGTCCGGTACATTTGTATCGTATATCTTGAGGCACATAATTTTCCTCACCATATGCTCATCTGCTCAATTTCTTCGCAGAATTCCCGTACTATTCAATTGTGCAAAAGAGAATGACAAAAACATGACAAATATTCGGAAACAGCAAAAAGGCCTACTTCCCCGGGTAGTGAGGAGAAAAATTGAACCATATTGATGAGGTTTATTCTTCATTTAATGATCCACATACATATACCTGACGCTAAGCGTGTACGTAATTGCTAGCATACCCAAACTTGGGATTCTCAAAATGCTCTAGTATTTTCGGAGTGCCAACTTCAGTAACATATTACCAGCAGGTAAAGTTCAAAAACTTAAAAACTCAACCAAAACACACAGGCTGATAGAAGGAGAAAGGTAACCTGAGAGATCAACCAGGCTGTTTCCATGCGCTTAATGAAATCGGAGGAGGAGTCCACCATAAACGCACAGATGCCGGAATTCCTAATGGTGCGGGACCTTGAGTTAGCGGTTACAATAGGAATCGGCAATTTTGCCGTGAATAGGAAGCTTTTGCCGGCCAGAGTCGCCGGAATGAGCGAAGACCCACTACAACATACACAGCTCATCATTTCTTGTTCACCAGCGGAGAGCGAGGGATGGGTAACAGGAGTAGGTAGTATGTTAAGCCAATCGAAGTCTTCTCGTCGTGCAAGGAGCAACAGGAACGCAGCCACTATAAATATAAATGTTATAAAAATATGGGCTTCGTTAGGAAAAGACGTAAATATCAGGCGATATTTTTTCTCGTGATAAAAGGAAAACTAAACGTCCGTCCAGTCCCATTGATGAATGGAAATATTGCGAAGGGAAAACTAAAGTGTACTTTTAGTATTAATATTTTATATAACTTTAATCCTCAATTTTATAAAATATATTTGTAATTTTTTTAATTTTAATCTCATTAATTTTATTAATAAAAATTTTTATATTAAAGTTTTAAATATTAATAGAATATCATTAAATATTAATATATCAAATTTATTTTTTAGATAATAATGATTATCTTAAAAAATCAATCATTTGAATTAACAATTTCCATTAAAAAATTAACAGTTAGATAATTATGAAGATATTTTATATAATTAATAATTAATTAAAATTTTACACAAATTTAGAAGAATGACGCTTTAAAAAAAAGGTACAGGAAAATCAGGGCGAATTTCCAGCTGTCAACAAGTGGAGTAAAGCTGCGTGTTGTTTAATGTTGTAGGATTGGAATTGGGAGGGACCAAGGTTCACCCTCAGCCCTCAACCCTCAACCTCGGCTAAGGAGGATTAGGGTTTATTTAAAATTATTTTTATTTTATTATTTTAAAAATTAATATTTTGTAAAAGATATTTTAAAAATAAAAAAATAACAACAATATGTGTTCTTTTTATTTTTTATTTTTCAGAACACTTCAAAGATTTTTTCTTTTTTTATTTTTTTAAAATAATATTTTATTTTTTTAAAAAATCTCTTTAAAAACACATTATTAAATATATATTTTTAATTTTTTATTTTAAAGAATAGAAAGAAATTATTTTCATAACGAGTTGACAAACAAGTCCTTGCTTTCTTGGATTAACTATGTTTTGCATAAATTACAATATACAAATTAAAGTTAAGTTATAAATAAGCTATTTTAATGAGATTTAAATTTAGATATTTTTATGAAAAATATCATTTTAATAAACTGAAATTTGTTTAGACTAAGGGCTAAAACATACTTTTAATTCTTTAACTTTACATAAAATTTAATTTTAATTTTTTAATTTTATAAAATACTTTTTCAATCCTTTAACCTTAACATAATTAATTTCATTACGAACAAAAGTTTCATTAAAACTTTAAATATTGACAAAAAATTTTGAAATGTTAACATATTAAATTTTTTTAAATAATAATAATTGGCACAAAAATAATTTCTTGAACTAATAATGTTAAAATTAAAATACTACAAAAATATTTCATAAAATTAAGAGATTAAGTTAAAACTTTATATTAAATTAAAAGATTAAAATTATACTTTAACCTAATTAAAAAGCAAGTTTGGATATATAGTAGCTAAGAAAGATGTGGGCTATTACAGAAAACGAGCTAAAAAGGACATGAGTTTCGTGTCTCTTACACGCGAAGTTTGATAAATTTAAGAAAATATTAAAATTTAAATTATAGTTACAAAAAGATTGATGTAAAAAAATTTAAATATTAAAAAACTTAATTAGATCTATTTGAAGAATGCATATACATATTACAGATGATAAAAATGTCAAATTTATAAATATATAATAAAAATATCATTTTTAAAAAGAAAATGTAAAAGAATAAATAGATTATTCAATAAATTTAAATGTTATTAACGGTTAGATTTCAACATACTGATATAAAAGATTCAAAATCTAACTTTTAGCCTAATCATAGTTAGAAAAAAAACGCCCATATGTCAATTACTTTTATCCAAACATTTTTTTTTATCCCTAACTAGCTTTTAAGCCTATAAGTTATGGTTTAAGCTAACTAGATGGAATTTCAAACAAGCATTTAAGTTTTCTTTTATCAAAAAGACAATGAAAGTCCTCAAAAATTCTCTAAAAAAATCAAATATTTGTATTTTATTCCATTTTATTTGAGTTAAATTTTTATAATTTTATCTCTAGCTATCTTGATTCATAGTGATTAACATTACTAATAAAAAATATTTTTCAAAACAAAAACACTTTTTAAAATTTATAAAAATTTCTGATTTAAAATTTTTCAAGGAAAAAGGAGAAAATAAAACTTGATTTCACACAATTTTCCATTTTTTATGAAAATTCTATCAATATAGAAATTATTTATGACGCATGACTTGAATATTTTGTCTAACTATGACCTTCAACATAAGTAAATTAGAGAATGTGATATTGATTTATTTTTCAGTTTTGCATTTTAGTTTTTTCATAAATTTTTTTAAAAGGGTATCATTGCATATATTAAAAATAGAAGCTTTTTCTTTTCAAATATGTTCGTTTGGATGTAAATTAATTTTAAGTTATAAAAATTGTGTAGTTAATTCTAAAGTTATATAAGCGTTTAATGAAAATATAAAAATGCTTAAATTTTATTTTTAAAAGGAAAGAAATTCAAGAATCTTAATTTTTAATGATTAACCAGCCTAACATATCAAAATATAATAGCTCAATTTAACTAAAGTAAATTGCAAGGATTTATTTGAAAATTAAATAAAATTATAAAAAGCTATAAAATATTTTCAAATGAAAGGAGGGAGAGAAAGGGAGTGGGAAAGCAAGAACACCTCATTCTCTATCTTGAATGTGATATTTTTTGCTAGCATAGCAGAATTATTTTATACTTAGGATATTAAAAAATATAAAGTATTTTTTGAGAAGTTAAATGTTAAAAAATATAAAGCATTTTTAGTTTTTTAAGTGCAATCATTATCTTTTTTAAAAAAATACTTTTATTAATAATAACTTTATATTTATTAAAAAGTAGGTAACTACTTTATTATGGGATGAGAACCGATTAAAAATACTTTATATTTTTGAATGGAGGAAATATCTAATATCCACATGCATGTTAAATCTGAATATTGTTTGAGTCTTATAAAATTAAAATTTTCAAAATATTTTTTATCTATAAAATTCGAGTCCTTGTGTTATTTAAGGAGGAGAGCAAAAGATATAAGGGTTTGAATAGGAGTAAGTAATGTTCGAACGGGTAAATGGAGCAAGAGAAGACACAAAATTGTAAGAACTGAAATGAAAAATAATAAATAAAAATTAAAGCACCAATATAGGACTTTAATGGAAGCAGCAGCAACCACGAAATAGTTTGATAAGAACTCAAGATAACACACAGGAAATAATGAGAAGAAACCGAGCTGGGAAAGCTGACGCTGAGCACGAATGAAAGAATAAAGGTAAAAGAAGAAGAGGATAAAATGGTAAAAATGTCCTAATATTTTTCACGGACGTCTGACATTTTAAATTTTTATAAAATATTTTTGCACTAAAAGTTTAAAAAACAGAACATTTTCACCCTATTGTCACAAACTTTGATTATTAAATCAAAATTTGATCAAGAATATTTTTTATATTTTTCCTCATTTCCTTTTCATTTAGTTAGGGGTGTATTGAGATGGGACTTTGCAAGACGGGATGAGAAAAGGCTTCAAGATTGAATGGGATACGGAAGTATCATCGGGACGTTCAGTCCTAAATATTATATATATTATTTTTTATTTTAAAAATATACATTAAATATATTAATTATATTAATATAATTTATACTTATATTAATTATATCAATTATAATTTTAATACTTACAATTCTTATATAAAACTAAAGTTTTTTACATTAAAAGTTTAACGATATAGAGTAAACATAGCAATATCTTTTTTTATAATATATTAATTATATTAATATACTTTATTCTTATGTCGATCTATTTAATAACTTTTATTTATATCATATTTTTTATTTTATTTTTAAAAGAGTAATTAACTTAGCACATCTCAACTAAATTAGAAGAACAATGATTTGATATTGTGTCTAGCTTGCTTGTTGTTGTTGCTTTTATAACTTAAAAATTACTTGTAATTGCTATTATAATGTGTAATTGTAATTAATATAATTTAATAATTAATTTTAAATTATTGTAATTTATGTATTTGTATTGTTTTGATTTTAAACTTAATAAATCATATGATTTAAAATTTTAATAAATATTATTATCTAATTTTTTTTAACATTATCTGATTTATCGATATGGCAGGACATCTCGATCTTGTCTCGGTCTCATCCCAATTCCTAACAGAATGGGACAGGACACAGAATAAAAATTTAATCCCGATATTTTTTTGGGATAGGACACGAGACAGTGGTGTTATGGTCTCGTCCCGTCCCGCAAACACCCTTATGTTTAGTCTTTAATTTCATTCTCCAATAAATTCTTTAATTTTTTTTCAAACAAATAAAAATGAAGACAAAAAAACATGAAAGTAAAGGAGGATAAAATTATAAAATATCTTGATCAAACTTCAATAAATAATTAATTTTTACAATTTTTAACGATGAAGCGAAAATATCCTGTTTTTGAAATTTTTGAAACAAAAATGCTTTAAAAAAATTTAGAATGTTAAGCGTCTGAAAGAAACAATTTAAGATATTTTAGCCATTTAATCCAAAAAGAATGTATGAACAAAATCATGAAATGAGATATCTCTAGTGGAATTGGGTCGGCGGTGGTTCAACGTATGAGATAGTTAAACTTTTCTTCTTATTTTGCAATCAGTTTTTTTTTTTATTTTTTTTCCGTCAACTTAAAACTTTTTCAAACACAAATGTAAACTCATTTAAATTCTTATAAATAAATGGATTTTTTATTGTAAATGATTAAAAAAAATTGTTACTCACACACGTTATGTTGTTAATTTTATTTAATTGACTTGTAAATTTTTTCAAACACAAATATAAAACGATGTAAAATATTGAGAATACATTATTTTCTTGTTGCAAAAATAACTGAACTTTTGTTATTATTTTCGAATCTTTTGTTAACAATCTTATTGATTAACTTGTAAATTTTTTAGAAAAAACATAACAATCAATCCTTATAATTTGATTGTGTTTTGGTATAAATCCAAACTTTTTTTTTTGTTCAGAGTTGTTATAGTTTTCTTAGTCTTCAATGCCAGTTCCTTTTATT